TATATTCCATTCACCTTTCTCTCAGTCCACAGCTATGTCCTCATGAGGACTTCCCTATAACCAGTTGACCAGGAAAGAAAACAAATTTTGGGCTTGGGTTAGATAATTCTGCATGGTATGCAGCACCACCACTCCACTCTGAAATTGTCCTGAAAGTCAGTGGTAAAAGGCAGTCATTCAAGTGGGCAGAAATCTGAGCAGTGCACCTGGTTTATTCTGCCCGAAAGAAGAGATGACCAAAGCTATGCGTCTACACCGACTCATGCATAGTAGCTAATGGTTCAGCTGAATGGTCAAGGATTAGGAAGGAGTACATCGGAAAATCTGTAAATAGGAGTTCTGGGAAAACGGTGCACAGAGCTTTCCAAATGGGTACAGAGAGTGAAGGTATTTGTGTACCATATGAATGGTCACCAAAGGGTGATCTCACCAGAATATTTAATAATTAGGTGAAAGACAGATTCTATGGATGCCAATCTCCTTCTGTCCATCAGCCCCTTTCTCCAACTACTTCTGACCTTGCCAAGTGGGCTCATGAATCAAGTGGCTGCAGCAGCAATGAAGGAGATCACGCATGGGCTCAGCAACAGGGAATTCCACTCATCAAGGCCGATCTGGCTAAAAGCCTAATCTGACAACAGCAGAGGCCAACAATGAACAGCTAACTTCGCACCACTCCCTAAATGGATCAGCTAGCTACTTGTTACCAGGTTGATTCCATTAGACCATTTCCATTACAAAAGGGGACAGTACTTTGTACTTACTGTCAAAGATATTTACTCTGTACATGGGTTTGCCTTCCCTGCCTGCCATGCATCGGTCAAAAGCAACGCTGATAGATTTACAGGAGGCCTCATCCACCACCATGGTATTCCCAGATTTGGGCTCCAAGAGCCATGAGAGGAGGCTGCTAATGCCTCCACAGGGAAAGAGTCGCTAACAGCCCTGAAGGAGTGCCTGTTGATTTCAATTTGAATTGATTCTTGAGCCTGTTTTTGGAGAAGGCCCTATACAAGTGGGGCTGATTTGAAAGTAACACCAACAGTGAGATTTTAAAAAATTGTAAATGGGCAATAGGTTGCCTACAGAACCTAAAAAGGACTAGAAGGCGTGTTTGTATTAACACTGTGTATGTTAAGAACAGATGATGAAAAAAAAAAAACCTAAAAACAAATAAAAAACAAACCAAAATCCCGGTCAACAGCTGTTTCTTGCCAGTGTCAGGAATGGAGCAGGCCTCGGTTTACAAATAATTTTCACGAATTGAACTGAGGGGGCAGATCTTTGCATTATGTGTGGGGAAATAACTTACCCCCTTTTTGTGAGTTCTTTTTTGTGAGCATTTATATGTCCCAAATGAATCTGTGAAAAGAATTTCCTCAGAGGAGGATGTCATCAATGTAATGTCGTACCTGTGCTCCTGGAGACAACTGGACGCAGTTAAGGTATTGCCTGCAAAGACTGCAATGGCAGAGTTGTTGAGGTATCCCATGGGTAGCCAGGTAAAGTGTACCGTGTCCCTCTGGAGGGGAAGGCAAACTGTAGCTGAGAGCCTGTTGAAAAGAGCACATATTAGCCAAACCTGTAATAATAAAATACTTACTGCTTGCAACTTGGATGGAGGCAGTAATTTCAGTAGCATTGGGTATTCAATCCTTAGTACATGGGCTGTAGCATTAATGTGTGGTAATCCTCTGTGACGCACCATCATTATTTCTCAGTTAATAATATACTAAACTGGATCATCAAACAGAGAAGCAGTGGTGGCAATCACTTCTTCTCTAAATAGGTCTTCATAATGGTTTCCATTGGGGTATACAGTCCATGGGGTCCCATTCTGTCAACCCAACTGGTAAGTGCCAAAAATTAAATTTCATTTTATTATTCACTGGATCAGAGCATCCATACCTTCTGCGGTACTATACTAAATTTAAGTCCGTGGATGCTATGACCATGAGAAACCTAGGCAACAGTTCTGTTGGTTAAGGTGAAACAGACGATTTGTCCTAAATGTTTCAGTCTGTTTGGGCTGCTATAGTAAAACACCATGGACTAGGTGGCTTATAAACAACAAAATTTTATTTCTCATAGTTCAAAAGGCTGGGAAGTCCAGGATTCTCACCAGTGTCTGGTGAGAATCAGCTTCCTCGTTCAGATGGCTGTCTTCTCCTAAGTCCTCACATGGCAGAAGGGGAAAAGGAGTTCTCTGGAGTCTTTATTCTAATTGGAGTCTTTATTCTAATGGCACTAACCTCAGTTCAGGAGGGCTCTGTCCTCATAACTTAATCCCAAAGGCCCACCTCTAAGTACCATCATGTTGGAGATTAGACTTCAACATACGAATGCTGGAGGGACATAAACACTCAGTCTATAGCACTCTACTTTATATTCAGCAACTCCTCTAGGATTTCAGGGGTTAACACGTTTAAATTTAGTGGGATGCCCAGGTATAACTATAATTTGAGCCCTGTATTAAAGCCATGAAGGTTTGCCAAGGGTATTAAAGTTAATTTGCAAGGTACAAAAGTCAGTCAACACCCTTTTTATCTTTTGTTGTATAAATTATTTTAGTAAATTTTGCATTTCCAATTGGGTCAAGCTGTGGACCTAACTTATATTGTACATCAACTCTACCTCAAATAGCAACAACAGCAAAAGAACTGTGGACCTCTGTTTCAGTTATTTTGTTGTTTTCTCTCCCTGGGTCTAAGTCCCTGTCTCCCTCCTTCATTCTTTCTTTCTACTTCTTTTCTTTTTATGGTTACTGGGTATACTTCAGGGAGCAGGGGTTCTCTTTACTCTGACCAAGTCCACAGATTTCTTTCTCCAGAGAGTATCCAGTCAGGATCATCAGGGTTAGGGGTCTGCTCCAAGGCAATGGTTGTTTCATGTGGCTGAAGGATCCCAGGCTTACGCTGCATCTGAATTAACCACTTTGCTGTGCCACAGGGTGGGGGTTTTCCCCTCTAACCACGAGCATGGGAGTTGCTTTTTTTTTTTCTTTTCTCATTTTTTTTTTGCAACAAACAAACAGTGAAACAAAAGCATGCCTGACATAACCCAGAAGTTGACTGAATGTCCTTTGAGATGGCTTTTTTCCTGCCATGCAGGTTTCTTTCATTTCTCTCTGTACAAATTTCCTCAGTTATTTTGGATTTCTAGCCACAGAAAGCCTTGGCTTTCAGTTTTTGCCTATCTAATCACCCAGTGTGGACATTCTGGGTGGGTCACAAGGGAAAGAGAGCCCAGCAGTCAGCCTCGTAGGCAGCTGCCTCCTCCTCCGGGGAATGCCAGTCAGTGTCCCTGGGTTCAGAGTCCACAAATAATAGGTCGTTTAGTCCACGGTCAAGGCCCATGATGCCAAAGTTAGTCCTCTGGTTGGTAAACAGCAGGAGTAAGCAAAACTCAGGTACTTTGGCTAGAGGGTTTGCACTGGGTGAATAGTTGAGTTATCTCCTCTGGTCGCCTGGAGGGGCAGGTCCTTTTTTCTTTCTCATCAGCATTTGGGCCACAGGCCACCATGAATGTGCCTCTAGATACCCTTGAGGGTCAGAAGAGCATGTGCAATGGCAGGAGGGGAGGAGCAGAAGAGATGGGAAAGGCTGCTACCCTTGTCTGAACACCACCAGCTCATTAGGCAACTGGGCTACCACGCTTAATTCTCCCTGGCATGGTAGTCTCCTGCCTTTCCACAAGGAGCCATTCACGTGCCCAGTGGTGCACAACAACCATGGTAGGTACGGGTACCCCGAGCAGTCGAGGATGGTCACCAGGCTACATGCAGCAACCAGACAGTTACTCTGGTAGGTGGGGTTCAAGTTCTGACCAGTCAGGGTGCTGTTTTGTCACTGCTTTCACAGGCAGGAGCCTCACAGACCATCTGCTAAACAGACTGGCAAGTCACACAGGGACACAGCCAATTAACAATTCTCTTTTAGGGACAAGAGCTTTTAGAGTAGGAAGAGATAGTGACACCCAAAAAAACAACAACAAAAAGAACACAGAGCAGAGCAGGCCAAAGTGCAATCCTGCCAGCAACTGGTGGTTCTGTCCCAAGTGGCCCCTGCCATATCACAGAACCAGTTAGCCAAGAGCAATCAGCTAACACTGACTAGGGGACCTCGGTCTTGCACGGACAAGCCTGTTCACGACGCCAACTGTATTAACTGCCTCCTAGTCACTCTGTTGGTGGCAGGATTCTTGCCCTGGGGTAACGAAATAGCTGAACACCTCAGACCTCCACTGGACAGATGAGACCCACGTAAGGTTACTAGTCATACATACTCACAGGCCAGGCTGGAAGGGCACAGGCCATCCAGGGCCACACAGGCACTGCACTTGGCAACAGAGAGAACCACCAGGGGTTGTGGCAAGTGGCTCTGCAGTGTCAAGAGGGTGCAGTGACCCCTGGTTCCTGCGAGAGGATATGAATGGCTTCCCTGAATAATTCTGCGGGCTGCTCAGGAAGTGAAACTTGCTACTTAGGGATAAGCAAGAACCTCACCTACACCTGGTCCCCTTGATAAGGAAGAAGGATTGTCTGACCACAGGACCTCACCTGTGAGAGAAGAACGCGGAGGGAGACTTGCAGTTAGGCCAGCAGAGGTCCTTCTGGTTTCAGATGTTAAGAGAGTCTATCAGACTGGGCCTCAATTTCAGGGAACTGTTGCTACAGTTTAAAGTATTTTGAAGACTACCAAAAACAAACCAAATTTTCATCAGTGGTGTTTATAGTTGCAGTACAAAAACATGAGTGACAAACAGAACTTTAGTACAGAAATAAGATGCTATAATGAGGGTGAGGAATTTAAGATAATTCCAAAAAAGATGACAAGGCTTACAAAAGCAGAAGACTATAACTAAAAATATGCTTTAGTGGTTGTCAATACATGATTTCTGAGAATGAATTCCCTGCCCCCTCACCATGGGAAAATTGGTACCTAACGATGTGAGCTTTTAATCATGTAAATATGTAAAACAAGCATCCTCACAGACTTATCTACACTGCTATATGTGGCAGGTTGTTTATTTAACACACTTCGTTTTGTAGAGAAGTTTTAGGGTTACAGAAAAAATGTGCAGAAAGCACAGAGTTCCTATACACCCCTTTACCTCTACCTCCCTCCAGTTTCCCTGTTATTAATATCTGCATGAGTGTGCTACATTCATTACAACCTATGAGCCAATACTGACACATTTTTACTAACTAAAATCCATAGTTTACATCAGGGTGGACCCTTTGTGTTTCACACTTTGTAGGTTTTGACAAATGAATAATGACAGGTAACCACCATCACAGTATCCTACAGAATAGTTTCACTGCCCTAAACATTCTCTGTAACCCACCTATTCCTCCCTCCCTCTCTCACCCCGAATCCCTGGCAACCACCCATCTTTTTACTGTCTGCATAGTTTTGCCTTCATCAGAATGTATTACAGTTGGAATCACACCGTATAGTCTTTTCAGATTCACTTCTTTCATTTAGCAATATGCATCTAAGGTTCTTAGAGGAATTCTTTGTTACTTGAGAGCTCATTTCTTTTTACCACCTGCCTGAGCATCATTATCCTGTAACCTTACTATGATTGCTTACTAGTGTCAGGAGGTTTTTTGTTGTTGCTTCTTTGGAACTTTTTATATAGACAATCTACGCTATCTGTGAACACAGTTTCATCTCTTCCTTCCAAATCTGTGTACCCTTTATTTCCCTTACTTGTCTTACTGCATTAGCTAGGACTTCCAGAAGGATGCTGAAAAGACATGGTGAGAGGGGATCTCCGTGCCTTGCTCCTTATCTTACTGGAAAAGCAACCAGTTTCTACACATTAAGTATGATGTTAGCTGTAGGATGTCTGTAGATGTTCTTTACCAAGTTAAGAAGTTAAGGAAGTTCCCTCTATTCCCAGCTTACTGAGATTTTTTAAAAACATGAATGGGTATTAAGATTTTTTGAAATGCTCCCCTGTATCTATTCATATGATTATATGATATTTCTTCTTAAGCCTGTTGATATGTTGGGTTACTCCAACTGATTATCAAATGATAAACCAGCCATGCACAGCTGGATAAATCCCAATTGATTATGGCACAGTTCTATAATTCTTTTTATATATTGTTGGATTCAATCCGCTAATATTTTGTTGAGCATTTCTGCATCTATGTTCATGAGAGATATCAGTCTGTAGTTTTCCTTTCTTGTAACGTCTGTGCCTGGTTTTGCTATGAGAATAATGTTGGCCTCATAGAACAAGTTAGGAAGTGTTCCCTCTACTTTTACACTCTGTAAGAGACTGCAGAGAATTGGTATCATTTCTTCCTTAACTTGGTAAAATTCACCAGTGACACATAAGGGCCTGATACTTTCTGATTTGGGAGATTAAATATTGATTCAATTTCTTTAACAGATATATGCCTATTCAGATTTATCCTTCCGTGAGTTTTGGCAGAATTCTGTCTTTTAAGGAACTGGCCCATTTCATCTAGGTTATCAAATGTGTGGGCATAGAGTTACCCATAAAATTCCTTTAAGCCTTTTGATGACCAAGGGATCTGCAGTTATGGCTCTCTTTCATTCCTGATATTAGCAACTTGTGTCTTCTCTTTTTCTTAGGTAACCGGCTAGAGATTTATCAACGTTCCTGACCTCAAAGAACCAGCTTTTGGTTTTGACTGATTTTCTCTATCGGTTTCCTGTTTTCCATTTCACTGATTTCCATCCTAAGTCTCATCATTTTTTTGTTTTGTATACTTTAGATGTAATTTTCTCTTCTTTTCCTAGTTTCCTAAAAAGGAAGCTTAGGCTAAGATCACTAGACTGTAATTTCAGGTTAAGCTAATTATTTATGTAGTCTGGTCATGTAATTAGCCTATCACCTTTGCATTGTCAATAAAAGCACTATTCTAATTCTACTTTGTCCCTGCTCCAGCCCCACTCCTTCTCCTCTTGTCGTAGACTCAAAAGACATTAAGGGCCAAGATCCCACCCTGGGTGCATCAGGGCCCTCAATTCACAGTCCAGTTTATAGCCCTGAGTGGTCTGATCTGAGGTTTCTTCCCTGGACCCTGTCTTAGAGGGCAGTTGCTTACAGAGGGTTTGGATCAAATTTAGGCTGAAGGCTGGAGTATTCAGATATGTACACTCAAGGCACATCATGGTTTGGGATGAACCATGGGTGGAAAGAGAAAAGGGGTAATGGGACTAGGGCCTAGCTATCCCCATGCACAGAACACACTTTATTGAACATCTTGTTATTTTGATTTATGAGTTTTAAAAGGTTAGCTATTAGCTTTGTGGCCTTCCTTTTAAACTGTTGCTCTAGGCCCTACACACAAAGGAGATGTGCCTGACGTTGTAACAACTGCTAAACTAGGAGCATCTATTTCCTGCTCACAATTATATTGTTTTGTATGAGAAACATAGACAGTTTATATAATGTACATACACACGTCCTATGAACTTCAGAGATATCACATGTGTTTGATGCTGTTGCCCTAGCTATTTAATTTAATCTGTTTTTTAAAAGCTTCATATTCAAATCGTTGCCAGGAATAGGGTGGCAGAAAGGCTATGATTATTAACACAAGGGAACTTCTTGTGGTGAAATCCTGATTCCCCTGTAATCTTCATGTAATACCAATTCCAGATTCCTTCTTGATTTTGTAACCTGTGTTTGTTGACAGTTACTCAAATACACAGACGATAAAATTTCACAGAAATACACAACGAAATACACAGAATACATGTAAAAACTGGTGAAATCTGAGTAAGTATCTGACTAGTGGAGTACCATCAATTTCTTGTACTTAAAAATATGTTAGGGTTCTGTAACATTATTATTAGAGGAAGCCTGGTACAGGAGAATTCCATGTACAATTACTGCAACTTCTTATGAGTCTATTGCATTTTACTGGGGTTTTGTTTGTTTTTTAAGCTTTACAATGTACAATATACAACTATAAACTACAATTAGTTATTCTTCCTAAAGATAACTATGACATTAAAACCAAACACAACTTCTAATGTTACATTACTTCTAAAGAAAATGTTCAAGCTATAGTCTCAAATGGACATATTTCTCCCCAATATAAATTCTGACATAACACAGTTTGTATTTTTGCTGAAGCTTTTACAAAGTCAAAAAACCTGTGAGGTTTTTTTGCCAGAATTAGTTGTATGACATTCAATGGAATGTTACTTCTTAACAAGGCTGTGTCTTATGCTTGTTGCAGTCTATGGGTTTGTCCCTTATTATTACTTTGGAGTAAAATAAGGCCAGTTTGTAGACGAAGGTTACTGAACATTCAGGATGTCAACAGAGCATTCTCCACAGTGTGAATTCTCTGAAGTGCAGTAGATGCTGAATTGTGGCTCAACCACTTCTAAAGTTCACTTCAAACCGTAAGATTTTTCTTCTGTGTGTGTTCTCTGATGTACAATGAGGTTTGACTTCTGAGAGAAGGTTTTCCCACACGTGTTACATTCATAGGGCTTCTCCCCTGTGTGTGATCTCTGGTGTTTAGCAAGATCTGATTTACGGTAAAAGACCTTTCCACATTCATTACACTGGCAAGATTTCTCTCCTGTGTGAGCCCTGTGATGCACCGTGAGGGATGACTTGTGGCTGAAGGCTTTCCCACATTCACTGCACTCATAGGGCTTTTCCCCTGTGTGTTTTCGCTGATGCAAAATAAGTCCTGACTTCACACAAAAAGATTTTCCACATTCACTACATTTATAGGGCTTGTCTTCTGAATGTGTTCTCTGGTGTACAATTAGAGCTGACTTATGGCAGAAAGCCTTTCCACATTCACTACATTCATAGGGTTTCTCCCCTATGTGAATTCTCTGGTGCTGAGTGAGCTGTGACTTCTGGCAGAAGGTTTTCCCACATTCGCTGCATTCATAGGGTTTCTCCCCTGTGTGTGTTCTATTATGTTTAGTTAGGTATGACTTATTATAAAAGATTTTTCCACATTCGTGACATTCATAGGGTTTTTCCCCTGTATGTGTTCTATAGTGTTGGGACAGGGTTGACTTATGGCTGAAAAATTTCCCACATTCAGGGCATTCAAAGGGTTTCTCCCCTGTGTGAGTTCTCTGATGTACTGTGAGGTCCGACTTCAAGCAGAAGGTTTTCCCACATTCGTAACATTCATAAGGTTTCAACCCTGTGTGAATTATCTGATGCCTGGTGAGCACTGACTTGTGGTAGAACGTTTTCCCGCATGCATTACATTCATAGGGTTTATCCCCTATGTGAGTTCTCTGATGCTGTGTAAGATGTGACTTCTGACAGAAAGATTTCCCACACTCAGGGCACTCAAAAGGTTTCTCACCTGTATGAGTTCTCTGATGTACTGTAAGGTGTGAATTCATACAGAAGGATTTCCCACATTCATAACATTCATAGGGTTTCAGTCCTGTGTGTGTTCGCTGATGTTTAGTGAGGTCTGACTTCTGGTAAAACGTTTTCCCACAAGCATTACACTGGTAAGGTTTCTCCCCTGTATGTGTTCTCTGGTGTAATGTGAGGGCTGACTTGTGGCTGAAGGCTTTCCCACATTCATTGCACTCATAGGGTTTCTCCCCTGTGTGTGATCGCTGATGCTTAGTTAGGTTTGACTTCTCCCAGAAAGTTTTTCCACATTCACTACACTGGAAGCGTTTCTCTCCTGTGTGTATCCTCTGATGTCGAGTGAGGTGTGACTTCTCCCAAAAAGCTTTCCCACATTCATTACATTCAAAGTGTTTCTCTCCTTTATGAGTTTTCTGAAGTTGTGAGAGGTATAACTGCCTCCTGAAATTATTCCCACTTTTGTTACATTCATAGTGTTTCATATGTGCCCCATGATGATTCAAAAGGGTAGACTTCACACATAAGGATTTCCCACAGTCACTAAGTTCATAGTGATGTTCCTTTGAGGGAATTAACTGATGGAACAAGAAGGATGAGTCATCACAGATCATTCTCCCATAAGCATTATATTCACAGTCACTCCCTTCAGTGATCTCTCGCTTGTGTTTACTGAATACCGCCTTTTCAAGAAAGGTTTCTTGATATACGTTGTATTCAAAATTTTGCTGTAAAGTTTGAATCTTCTCAAGCTGAACAGGATCCTCATTATGACTGAAAGTTTTCCCATTTTTAAAAAATTCACTTTTCTCTCTAGTATGAGTTTTCTCACATTCAATATCAAGTAGCAATTTTCCGCAGGTGTTAAATTCATCAGTATTTTTTCCTAAATAGTTTTTCTTATTGACAACCAGTTCTGAAATACAGTTGAAGCTCATTTCACATGAGTCACACTGACAGAGTATTTTTCTGGAAGGAAAAGAATCTGTGTCCAAGTTAAATGGTTTTCCTATTACAAGACCTCGTTCTTTAGTCAGCATTTTGTTATTGATGAATACAACTTGCCACATATGCTTAGGCAGGTCTTCTTGGCTTCTTTCTTTCATGTGATCAGTTTTCCAGGGTTCTAGAAACAAGAAAAATCAATCTCATCATATAAATATTAACACATTTCTTATGGAATGAGACCTATATACAAATGCTCTGCATTGTAGCTGACTTTGATTTCTTGTCTAGTCTCCAGAAATGAAAATAACTGCAAGTACATATTTTTTCTATTTCTAGGTTTTGAGGCAAACAAAAAAAAAAAACAAGAAACAAAAAGCCTGATATAGCAGGAAAAGGGAGAGGAAACTGTTAAAACACATATATTTAGTTTCCAACGTCTGATGAATAACAGCAACTATTAAAATCTGTATATGTCCATGTATCCTCCAAAAAAATAATAGGATCAATATAAGGAGAGCAAATAAAATTAGTGACAACAACCCATGACTTTAGAATAATTACGAGATACAAAATACTACTAACTTCAAATCATCATTAAGGAAGCAAGTAAATATTCAAGTGTAGAAGTAAGTGAGAGCCACATCTGCAGAAAGAGTCAGCTGGAGACTGTGGTAAACACATGCAGAAGAAGACACAGAGAATTTAGAGATGGTTAAACACAAATAAAATTACTCCCAGAAGAAAAAAGTCCCACTATGAGTGGGAAAATATTAAGATGATGTCTCAGTTCTGGTGGATGAGAACTCAGATTACTGGGAAATTCGAAAGAGTAGACTCATAGTACGTGGGAACTAAGGAGGCAAGGGCTGATTAAAGTGAGGAACAAACATGTAAAAACAGAGTGATCTTATTATAGGAATTAAATTACAAGGAGCCTGGTACAGACTGAATTGTGTCCCTTCCCAAATGCGTATGTTGAAGCTCTAGCCCCTGATGTGGCTGAATTTGGAGATAGAGCCTTTAAGGAAGTAATTAAGGTTAAATGATGTCATAAGGGTGGAGCACAAATCCGATGGGAATGACATCCTTATTAGAAGAGGAAGAGACACCAGAGCTCACTTGCTCTCCATGTGCACAGAGAGAAAAGGCCATGTGAGGACACAGTGAAAAGGTGCTGTCTGCAAGCTGAGCAGAGAGGCCTCACCAGAAATCAACCCTGCTGGCACCTTCATCTTGAACATCCAGTCTCTAGAACTTTGAGAAAATAAATTTCTGTTGTACAGCCATCCCGTCTGTGGTGCTTTGTTATAGCAGTCCAAGCAGACCAATAAAGAGCCCAAAAAGAAAACACACTTGACTGAAATTCTAATAAACAGTGATGAAAACAGGCATTAAAGCAACAAAGGAACAACAAAAGACTAAACAAAAAAAAAAAAGAAAGAAAAGAAAAGAAAAAATTGAAACAAAAAGTAAGTTCTGGAAAAAGAAGGTGGATTGTAAAATAATGTAATAAATAAAAATTTAAAAATAAAATTGTATGTATATATGATTGTAGTCTCTAAAGAGAAAAAAAAAGAAAATGGAATAAATCTAAAATTAAAAAACATAATCTAGGAAAACTGCCCAGAAATAAAAGAAGACCTAATCTACATGTTCAAAATGACCACCCTGAACCTGAAAAAACTGACCTGGAACAGTTCTCTTTAATACATACCTTAATAAAGCTACCAGATCTTAAAAATGAAGAAAAAGGCCTCTAGACAAGGATGAGGATGTTGGACAAAAAGACCAAGTCTCAACAAACAAACAAAATATAGGTTTGGCAACAGACTTTGTCACCAGTAAACAAAGCAAAGCTAAGTGGAGCAACATTTTCAAGAAAAGGGATTGAGTGAGTCAAGGACTTTTACCCATTGTCTATTATCCTTTAAGGAGCAAGGCTATGGAAAAATGTAAACCAGTTTAGATATTCATGAAAATAGGTAATATTGTAATCACGAAACCTTCCAGAAAAGGACAAACTTCAAGCAACCAAGACTTGACAGGAAAAGCTGGCAGAAAAACTGAGCAGTAAATACATTTAATTGTAGATCGGAAATCAAAACAAAGATAAGAACAAGGATAGAAGTATAAAATATAAATGCTACATGTTCTGGTGAAGCAGGAATAATGTAACTAGAAAAGCTACAGGAAACAGGAGAGAAAAAACAGGAAGTAAGAATAAGCTCAGAAACAGCCACATAACTAATCAGAGTCAAAGGATGTCAACTATAAGCTAAAAAACCAAATAAGAGTGTTAAAGGAAATGGGCAACTAAGGCCATTATATTAATATAAAAGTAATACTAGAGCAAAAGCATCAGAATTTCCTAATTGCCTCCATCCAAAAAGAACAAAGAGCAAATAGAAAAATTCAGTAAATGTGATACCCCTTAAATGTAACAATAGGACAAAACTGAAACCTAACATACAAATCATATCAGTAAATATGAATAGGCTTAACTCACCAATTAAATTTGGTTTTGATTTTCAAATTGAGTCATGGACAAGCCTAAAATCTCTGCTGTAAAGGGAAAACACACTTAAGAAAAATGGCACAAAAGGGCTAAAAACAAAGGGTGAACAGTATCATTCCAGACAAAAGGAAACAAGAAGGAAACAGAGGGGCAATCTTGTCACCAGGAAGGACAAAGAAACACTTACAATGCTAAAATTCACAAATTCGAATGGAGAAATAACAGACCAAACAACCTTCATAGACCAGAACCCAGAGAAGTAAGGAAAAATAGAAACACACTAATAAGAAAAGTATTTCAAGACAAATCAAAGTAAAAAGTTAGTGGTATCAAACACACATATAATAACATGTATTATGAATCCATATCAAATTTTATAATATCAAAACTTGTAATAGAGAATATACTTCCATCTCAAGAGTACATGAAACATTCACAAAAACTGATATAGATAACACACATAGGTAATAATGCAGTAAAACTAGCAATTAATGGTCAAGAATGAGCTTCCATCCGGACCTGAGAAACAAACAACTCTCTAGTAAACTGCTCTTTGGTGAGAGGGAAAACACACACCAGACCTGACGAAGTTCCAGAACAAAAAACTAAAAAAATATTACTTATGAGGATGTCTGGGATATGTGTACTGGTCAGAAGAAATTCCATAGCATTAGGTGTTTACATCAAGGGAAAAAAAAGAATGAAAACAAGTGAATTCTTAACTCAAAAAAAAAAAACCTAGAAAATGATAATAGTAATGTAAAAGAAAGTAGACAGCACAAAGAAGAAAATAAAAAAAATAAAAACTTTTTCTTCATTTTAAAGATCTAGTAATTTTATTAAGGTATGTCTTAGGACTGTTCCCAGGTATGTTTCCTCAGGTTCCTGGTGGTCCCTTCGAACATGCGAACATCTTCTTTTATTTCTGCACAGTTTTCTTAGATTAGAAGTTAATGAAACAGAAACAGAAAAATAGAACAAGTAAGTCAAAAGGCTGGTTCTTTGGAAAAATTCACAAAAGAGACAAATCGCTGGCTAACCTTATCAACAGAACAAGAGGGAGGAAACTCAACTACACAAAATAAGAAATAAGAAGCAATCATGGAAACGATGCATGAAAAATTCTTAGGCTTTTTTTTTAACTTGACTCAAATACATTTGAAAGAGAAGTAAATAATTTCCTAGGAAATACAACTTATCAAAATTTACTCTAGTAGAGACAAAATATACACAGAATAATTTCCACAGAAGAAGAAAATACCAAGCTTGCCTGAGCAGTAAAATGAGCACCTCTAAATCTTTCATCTAGATTCACAGAATTTTAAACCCTTGCCACATGTGCTTTATCTTTTCTGTATAAATTCTTGACCATTAACTATTTTAGTTAAATACAAACATTATAACCCATTACTCCAAATATGTCAGCATTATATCTCCTAAGACTAAAGGCATAATCACACTCAAGAAAACCATACCCTGATTATATATTGTCCACAATACAGTCCATTCAAAAAAAGCAGTATCTCTGAAAATATCAAGAGTGTTTTTCAGCTACATAGTTCCCCTCCTTTCACTGAAAAATCCTCCAAAATTAGAGGTATACCTATCATGAAGGTGGGTTTAATCAAAATTGTTTTCTTTAAAAAATGTCCACATACATTTTAGACTTTACTGATATATTGTTTGTTTTTTTCACTCTGCGTTTCCAAAATTCATCCACACTGTTGCATACGGCTATGTAATATACTGTAATTTACTAATTGATCCTATTTGATGGATAGTCTGGTTGATTCTAGTTTTTCTGTTATTATAAACAATATAGAGACAGACATTCTTCTCTACACCCCTGCTGAGTATTTGGAAGTGTCCCTAAAGCAGTGCTACTGAAAAGTGGGGCTTGCAAATTGCTGCCAGTCAACATAATGTAACAAGTAGATGACACGATAAATACAAAAACCGAGAGGAACCATTTAGAAATGTTCATAGCAATCACAAAATAGCTTCAGTGAGGTAAAGCTGATGAATCAAATGATTACAGTTAAACTATATAGCTCTGACATAATAATATACACTAATGGATTTATTTCTGGGCTCTCTACTCTGATCCACTCCTCTATGTGTCTTTCCTAATGCTAAAACCACACTGTCTTATTTACCATAATTATAATAAGTCTTGAAATCAGGCACTGTTATCCCTAAAACTTAGCTTTTATTTTTCAAAGTTGTTTTAGTTTTTCTGGCTCTTTGCACTTCTATATAAAGTTTAGAAATCAGCTAGGCAATTACTCTATGGAAGTATGCTTCCATATTGAGATTGTTCTGAGTCTACAGATACTTTTAAGGAGAAAAACATATTGAGTCTATTGAGCACTCTCATACATCAACATTTATCATGTATACATGAACAGGATGCGAGGCTCTCTCCATTTATTTAGGTATTCAATTTCTCTCTGCAATGGTATATAATTTTCAGTGAGGTCTTTCACATCTTTTGCCAGCCACATCTGCAAGAAAATATTTTTCATGCTATTGTAAATAAAACTTTTTAATTTTGCAATTTCCAGTCAATTACTGGTAGTATATAAAAATAAAACTGATTTTTGTATACTGATTTTTATCCTTCAACTGACACTCACATAAAAGTTCTAGCTTTTTTTGTGTGT